AAATTAATTATGAATATGCCAGTGTGTGTTGCTGGGAATAAGAAAAACCTCAAATTGCTCACTGATAACTGGATCAAAACAATAATTGATCAATGTCACATGACAGCTCTACATTTTCAATTAAGTGCTGAACAAGTTAGACGACAATCAAAAGATGTGGCAAATTTTTTTAGTGAAACAGTTGCAGAAGCTGTTGAAGGTGTTGCATTACCCTTTGTTGGCATACCAATAGGCACTACCATAGGCTCTTTGATTGGATATGGAATTGCTAAAAGGCCTTACCAAAGGACATCAAGTGATTCAGAAGAAAAGGAGTTCCACGAAAGAAAAAAGATGAATCAAAAATAAAAAAGTAACAGAATATTAGACTATAAACTAATATTATATATACTATACTCACTAACCAAACATGCATATATGGTGTAGTACAATTAAAACACATTAGTAGTAGTACCATTGAATAATTTTTATTAACTGTAGTGAATAACCCTTTTAATTATGTTGGTTGGGAGAATGAAAACACAAAATTTCAAACAACTTGTCCTCTTGACACTAAACCATACAAGAAAGCAATGGAACAAATGGCATCTTCTAGCTGATCCCTCTCTTTCGTGGGTGGGCTGCTGCCCCTATGTCTCCATTGTATAGTATTAGCTCAAGGACTGTGTTGTTGATCATGTCTTCACATTCATCAAAAAGGCAACTGGAGGAAGAGAGAAGGAAGAAATAAATTTTGGGAGACAACCTATAAAATGGGAGATTTCAGGAGACCTAGACCAAATGTGGGAGACCAAAAATCTCCTGGACTCCCTCTAGATCTAAGAGTATGTGACATAAACACCAGTAATCAGTGATAAAATGCTAAATATTGTTGAACAGATGCACGTAAAACACTTGTACACAAGAGTACCTTTTCATGCATTTATGAGTGATTTCTTTTTTGTTAGCAGTGACAGCATCAATGCTGATGATCTGTCTATTGACCACAATTTATCAAAAACCCTTTATCAACCTAAAAAACATCATAGCTTAATAGAACTAAAAATATTAACACCTAATGACATCATTATATCTGTTACTATTTATAGAGTAATTACTTGAGAATTCATGCCATGGAGTCCAACTCTAATAAATACAACTTTATGACAACTGTCAGGATCACTAGCAATAGAACCCAACACTGTCAGCCAACACTCAGTGAACTCTTCACCACTAGAAATGATAAAAACAATCTATCATGTTCACTATCAGAAATGTAATTAAAATAATGTTGATTTCGGAGCCATTTTTCCAAAAAACATGGGCAGGGTATCTTTTGGATTTTGGCCAATTTTTAAAAATAGCCATAACTTGAAAAATTTAATTTGACATCAGCTCAAACTTTGTACATAGCGTAAGGACATAAATTTTTCTTTTTGCCAAAATTTGGCCAAAGTCCTTGTACAGGGACTTTGGCCAAATTTTTGAGCAACTTGATGATCAATTGACAAAAGCCCATAATGCCAAAATCCTGTGGGAAACCCTCCCCCTCTCTCTCTCTCCCTTACCTTTGTAACTGATCTGGTTATCATTATCAATCTTACAAGTGTCTCTGATAAGTTTCTCCACTACATAAAACAAGAAGACATTAATCTCTCATTCTCTCACGCTCTTCTTCTTGAAACCCCAGCTGTGCTTGTAACAGAAACCTCTTCAGCTGTTGTACTGGTATACTCCCATGCCCCTCCTGATCAAACACAGCAAACGCTCTCAGTACATCAGTATGACTGGGCCACTCTCTGCTCTCATGAGTGGAGGTTAACTGATCACACGTCTCATCTATTATCGACTGCAGGTAGCTCTTGTCCAGTTCATTACGTTCTATTATTAGTAACAATTAGTTTCTAATGATGTCATTACTTTTTATTGCTTCT